CTTGAAAAGTTCATATAGGTTTCGTCGAAATCTCCGGGTAACACTTGAGGACCTTCCCTCGTACGTAAAATTGTTATTTTTTTTAAAGATGTAAAAGTAAGAAGAAAAAAAACATGAAATGTTAGTTCATTGTCATCTGTGTTGTTTTGCTTTTTTTTCTCAAGGATATATATGTGCTTCGTTATTCTATAATTAACTGAACTTTGTTTTTGACGTTTCTTTTTCCAAATCAATTATTATCTGAAACATTTTTTTCTTCTATTGTAGATTAAACTATTGAACATGAATACTTAGGGCGTACCAGAAGTTCGTAGCCCGATGTTACTTAACCATAGAGTAACCTTTAAGAAACTTTCTTTCTATACAGTCTAATAGAGAAAAAAGTGCTCTATTTTTCTATGCTATTTGATCATACCTCAGCTAATATCGTGATAATAAATTTTCGATAAGACTTTTTTCATTATCATTTGTGCTCTAGTAATTTTCGCATTGCAGTATCCAATCTCTTGATACATTGTATTAATGAACTAAAATATACTATAAGATGCAGCATGAAAAGCTCTAGAATTTACCCAAGACCGTTTACTTTATAGTTGTATTTTTCGCTTTCAAAATGGACAAAATTGTGAGTGATCGAATTTCGACCATGCGAAATTGATAATGTTTTTGATACACGGCGAATTCATTTTTTGTTACTACATCGTTTCGTCATCTGAAAAGCTTTATCAAAAGAAAACAAAATACACGACAAGATGCAGCGCGAAAAGCTCTGCAGTCTTCATAGTAAAGCTTATTGCAATTGTTTTCAAAAGAAGGAAAACTATCTGCAACCAATTTTTGCAATGCTGAAAATTTGACCTCTCAAAACTTTGTTCATTTTGATAACGAAAAGTGCAACTATACAGTAAGTAATCTTATGTAAATTGTAGAGCTTTCACGCTGCATCTTATAGTATATTTTAGTTCGTTAAAACAATGTATTGAGGGATTGAAAACTAACCTGATTCATCCGTTGTAATCCAGTACTACGAGCACAAATGATAATGGAATAAGTCTTATTGAAAATTTATTATCACGATATTAGCTGAAGTATGATCAAATAGCATAGAAAAATAGAGCATTCGTTTCTCTATTAGACTGTATAGAAAGAAGGTTTTTTAAAGGTTACTCTATGGTTAAGTAACGTCTGGCTACGAACTTTTGGTACGTCCTAAGTATGAATACGGAACCCATCAAGACTCCAAGTCAAGATGCACAAGGTCGATGGTATGACTTATTGTCACCAACACAAGTACTTACCGGCCAAGAGCCAACAACATCAGTAGTATCCAAAATAAAGAAAAAACAACCACGCAATCGAAAATTACAACGTTATTGACGAAAACTTCGCAAACAAGGTGTCGATCAGAGATGAATAAAGCCGCACTGCGCCTCCCCGCGCCGTTGCTCACGCCTACGCTACACTAGTCTGAGCTTCGATGAGCGCATGCTTAGAGCATCCCGGTATTCGGTGGAGTTTGAGAGACTGATTGGTAGAGCAAAGAGAAAGAGAGATGTGCGTAGCGCCTAGGCGCGAGCAGTGATGCGGGGAAGCGCGGGGAGGCGCGATGCGATTTTGTCCATCCCTGGTGTCGATCAAGCCACTATCCAAATCAGAGATGTTGGTGAGTAATTTTTTTTGACCCGACCCGCAATCCCGACCCGCTTGACGGGTTGAGCGATATTTTTTTCGATCCGCGGGTTACTTCACGGGTTGACGATTCTTCAACCCGTCACGGGCTGCCCGTGGGTTAATCCTCGGGTTAATGGAAATTTAATTGAGATAGTATTTATAAAAAATTCACAAGTTTAGTGGATCGATACATTCGTTTTTGTTATTCGTCTTATTAACACAAATGTTTTGACCATCAAAATATTATCTTTTATCCGTGAATACATGCATAAGTATTACAAAATTTGAAGTTCAGCTCAGGAAGATAACGAGTCCAGTGAAGGTAACAGCATATGCTCATGTTCACAATGTGAAAAAGAAATGGCAGCTCCTATTATGGTGATAATAACAGCCGTTCAAAAAAATTGAGAATTAGATAGACTATATATCATTCATTCTCATTTTGGAAAGTGGTCTAACTAATAACTAGCTTTTCAATAAGCTTGGTTTTGTACGTGATTTGCGAGCACAATAAATAAGAACAACTTGAGGAAACTGCCTTTCGACAGTAACTGAGCTTGTTAGAAAAGTTTGGCTGACGTATTGCCTACAAACTATAATAAAAACTGATATACATACGGAAAGATAGATTCTTTTGTTGCGCCACTCTGCTCGAAAGAACTTAAAAGACAGAATGAACGGAAAAAATATTAAGAAAAGATGAAGCGAACGGAGAAAATGTGAAAATGCAAAAAAAACGATTGAACTTAGTATTTTGTACAAGCAAATTTCAAATGAGAAGCGCATCCATGTATGAGTATGCTTCAAAACAGTTAAGGGGACCCCCCCCCCTCCTCAGAAATGATTTCCCACTTAGAATGGAACTTTTGAGCTGAAAATTTCAGGGATGAGTGATCCTGAAGAGATACGCTCTCGGTGAAAATTTCAGCCAGATTGACCGTACCAAACCGGAGTTTCAGCTGAATCATAGGTCATTTTTGACCTTCAGGACAATCGATATAACTTCGCCATAACACGAGATATGGAGCTCGGGCTGGTCTCAAATTGAAGCTAATGTCAGTACGCAACTTTTGTCCGAACAGAATTTTCAAATTCAATCTTATTGATTTTTTATGCCTATTTTAGTGGAAGGGTCTAAAAATCAGCATAAAAAATGGTGGTCTAACGACAGTAAATTCCACTTTTCTCATTGCAGGAATCGACTTTAAAAAAACTGGTCGGACAAAAGTTTACTCTTCTTGAGATCTTTAAAACAAAAAAAATCATGGGTTATATGCCTAGCCGAGCGGGAGTTATTTCGATTTTTTTGTCTAGAAACCGTGTTTTGAGAAAAATGCTAAAGAAATGTTGGAGATGGATTTTTTCATTAAAATCCAGAATAATTCATGTTGCAATGGTGTATTCCACTGGGGCGTCTGAAAGGACGTCACAGATGATGGCAACTAGCACCATCTAACATTGTGATCAGCATGAAAATGTTCTATTTCACGATAATGCTACTGGAAACGCAATTTTTCTGAAACTGGAACCCTAAAAAACTCATGAAGTTCTCTACAAAAACATGGTAGTGGATTTTGAGTTTCATGCGATATGTCTTTGATAATCTGATCATTTTCCAAAAAACTATATATATTCTGAAAGAGGAAGCTTCGTTGCATCTTCCTGAAATAAAAGCTCAACTTCAATATTTTGCCAAAAAAATCGATTCTCTGAGGGGGGGGGGGGGTCCCCTTAAAAGGTTTAGTATGACACCTTTTTTCTGAGTAGCTAGCTACAGCTTTTTTCCATTCGGAAACCTTTTTTTGGGGTTTCCGAATGAGTATTTGAGGTTTCGTTATGATGGACATTATGGGTTTCCTATAGTAACAAATTCGGAAACACTCTAAGGGTTTTCTAGGATACCTATTTTTTTTTAGAGTGTACTAGTTGTACTATTGGCGGCAATATCTTCAAACTTTTTAATCAGTGCATCGCCTGTTCTTCCATGTACTTTTTACCACCACCATTGCTTGCCATTTGGTCAAGTCTTTTCTCTTCTTTACTTCCTTTTTGAATACCTTCACTGAAACCAATCGTATGACAAATAAAATTATGATCCGTTTTGTATTTTGATTTCAACTGACTAATTATATTTTTGGGATTACCATTACCACAATCGGCACCATCCGACATAAAAGTCATGACAATCGATGCACCTGTTTTGTCTTTCTCGATTTCTTTTGTTGCTTCTTTCAAACCTTGTGCATAATCTGTACCACCACCATGAATGTAAAGTGTACGAGGAGCATCAATAACTTTTTGTCTCGAGCAAATCGTACGTGCACTGCTATCGAACTGAACAACAGTAATAACATCATCTCCTCCTTGATCATCATTACGTCGTGTTAAGAAATTGTTGTATGCTTGTTGTAATTTGTTCCAATGTGGGCTCATTGAACCTGATTCATCAAGAACAAAAACAAAATGATATGATTGAGCTTCATGTTGTTCAGTATCAAATGACACTGTTTCTTTGAATGCTCTTTTAGCATCACTTTCTTTATTTTGAACTTTCTGTTGTTTAGTATCAAATAATAAAATTTCTTTGAATGCTCTCTCAGCATCACTTGCTTTACTTTTATATTGAGCTTTGAATGCATCCCTCACTTTAGCCGTTGCGTTTGGTTTAATAACACAAAACATAAGATCGATTTCTTCATTTTTTTTCAATAGACGATCACATATACCCGTCAATGTATGTTTACCGTTTCCCTACACTCTAAAAAAAATAGGTATTCTCGAAAACTCTTAGAGGGTTTCCGAGTTTGTTACTATAGGAAACCCTTTAAGGGTATCCGAAGAAGGGTTTCCGAGACCTCGGAAACCCATAATGTCCATCATAACGAAACCTCAAATACCTCTTCGGAAACCCAAATAAAAGGTTCCCGAATGCCGGTAAAGCTCTACCAAACTAGACTAGACAGGAATCCACCACTTCTCTGCCACCAGCAACAAGCATTCACAGCGGCCACAGACGTTCAATGAGCCTCTGCTGTGAATCTATCCGTACCCAGAAATAACTGGAATCGTCATTAAAGGTTGGTAACACATAGTATTCAGAGGAAAACTTTAGTTATCCAGACGCACTTCGTCGCACCATTACCAAACCATCACGAAGCTGAACATTGCGACCTTCTCCATCTAAAAAATGAAGAAGCAAACCAATTTGTTGTCGAAAAATCATCTAAACTCACCAGTTTTCTTCACATCCAAACTAATAATCATTCATTTCATATAAAACACAATTCAACCGAAGTAGTTAATGAATGAATTTCATAGCTCATTAAACTTTTCCCTACGACAATCATCTAGAAACAAAAAGAAAATTATATTTTTATTTACTAAATTGATTCAAACTCGCCCGAACTTTTGAGAGAAAACGAGTCTAGGGATGAAAATAAAATTTCATTTTCGTCCAATAATTTGAGCAAACTTCTCACATGTACTAAGATATAAAATGAATCTACAAATAAAAATGAAACTGTTTTTTTTAATTTAAAGAATTTTTTCCAACTCACTAGATCTATGGATATAAAGCGAATCTAAAAATGAAAATACAATTATATTTTTATTTAATGCATTGCTCCAAACTCACCGGATCTATCGATATCACACGAGTCTAAAAATAAAACTGAAACTTTAATTTCAAAAATTGATTCAAACTTACTGGATCGATCGATATTAAATGGATCTAAAAATAAAAATAAAATTTCATGCTCATTTGGTAATTGGAATAAACTCACCAGATATATTGAGATATAGAACGAATCTAAAAGTAAAAGCTAAACTTCATTTTCATTTTGTAATTAAAATAAACTCATATGATGCATTGAAATATAAAACGAATTTAAAAATAAAATGAAATATTATTTTAATTTAAAAAATTCATTGAAACTTATCGGATCTATCGATATCACATGAATCCAAAAACTCAAAAATAAAATTGTATTTTTATTTAATACATTGATTCAAATTCACCGAATCTATTGACAGACAACGAATCTAAAAGTAAAAATGAATTTTCATTCTTATTTAGTAATCGGAATAAACTCACCAGATATATTCAGTTATAAAACGAATCTAAAAGTAAAAACAAAATTTCATTTTAATTTCATAAATTGATTCAAACTCACTGGATCTATCGATACCCCACGAATCTAAAAATAACAATAGAATTTCATTTTCATTTAGTATTTCAAATAAACTCACCAGATATATTGATAAATACGGATCGAATCTTGAAACCAAAATTAAAGATTATATTTTTATTTAATAAATTGAATTAAATCACGCTTTCTTCGATATTCGAAACAAATCGAGAAATCAAAATGAAATTGTATTTTAATTTCATATTTGGAATAAATCCACGGGATATTTGGCTATATAAAACGAATCTAAAAAGTAAAACTGAAAATATGTTTTAATTCAATTAGTTGATTAGAGCTCATCGAATCCCAAAGTCATGTTATGATAGAAAAACAAAAAAAAATTCGGATAGTGTTGTATTCATGAAATTAAATAAACGTCCTGAATTAATAGAGAAAATGTGGTATTGAAAAGTATAAATTACGAGTTAGAAATATTTTATGAGATAATTTAAGATAACTCATCTATCTGTTGAGATGAGTAGATATGTAAGAAAAAAAATATTTCATGTAGTATCGAATAAATTATAGAATTCATCGAGAGGAGTTTACGACTGAAATCATAAGAATAGTAAACTTTCGAACGAGGTATGAAATGAAGGTACCATATTGCCGAAAGCGCAGCAGATTTTCGAATTGATAATTAATATGGTCTTAGATTATTGAAATCGAAGAGAATGGGATGTCTACTCCGATAGATTTGATCGACAAAGTGGAGGAATTAATACAGAAGCCTTTGATAAATATAATATGTTTCATCAATATTTTGCTCAAGTGAAAATGATTCGATAGAAGATAATCTTTGCTTTTGGGTATGCTTGTGCAGAAAAGTATCGTTAGTGAAGTGTTTTCTACTCATTATAGATACATTATTCGATAGATATGGGATCAGAAATAAGAGGATCACCTTGCATAGTTATTTTGATGTTTTGTTCGATAGTTAAGCACTCTGATATAATTCAAACCCGAAAAGGCTTAGAAAATAAGCAATCATTCGTTGAATATGTAGTGCGAAATATGCTCATTGCACTCCACGTGAGTAGACTACTAAAATTCATCTATAAAAAAGTAATCGAACTATTCTGTCTTCTATTATCAAGATATCATTATAATCATATGCAACAAGAGTATCGAATTCCGTGATAAACTAGACGTTGCAAAGCCTTTTGTTAAATAAAATTTAGAACAAGTATTAAAAGCACGCTTAAATGGTCAACCTGTAGCTAAGTTTCTCTTATACTGACAGTCAAAACAAAAGTTGTTCTTGAGCAAAGTCTCTACTGAATGCGATGTAAATATAAGTGATTCCGACTCCCTCCCAAAGTGTAAAATTTTATTAAAGATTCTAAAAAATATTCTCTACAGGAGAAATTATACACAAGATTGTAGCATGATTAAAGATCTTGTGTATATTAAGAAATCAGTGTTTTTTTCATTATAACATTTTATCAATATTAGAAAATATCAAATAACCATTCTTTACCTTATTTACTTCGTCTGTCGGTTAGCTCTCGACCGATCGCAAAATTAGTACGACACAACCTACTGAAGTCAAAGCGACTCATAATTAAACATAAGAGAAATTGCATTCATTTGTACTTTACAGATTGAACCCTTGTTTTTATTCGATTATAGAACAAAGCTAAAAAGGGATTGAAGACAAGACAACAGTATCAGATCCACGATTTATGTTCTTGTGAAAGTTATATGAAAACATATTGTTCATATGCCTTATAAATGACATTTATTTGTTAACATGTGGACTAAAGTTGCAGTTTTCCGTTTGATTTGAACGCCTTTAATTTTTAGAAATAAACCATCTTTAATTCCCACTTAAGGCTAGAAATTTCGGCAGATCGTCCCTCCTGTAATTTTTGACATCTACGATAGCTACAATTTAATTCTTACTTTAGCGAAATTCAACCAAAAAAGGAAGAAAAAAGACATATAGTAATTGTCCAACTTACTTATTTTGTTCCTGATTTGTTAATATTGTATTCTCTTTCATATTCTGAAGAATAAGATCAACAGTAAAATGCACAAATACCGTTCCATTATTTCTGAAGCATGATCTGGCTTCACATTTCGTCGAGCTGTTCACACAGGAACAATTTTGAATAATTCAATATGAAATTACTAATTAGATCGGTGTTTTTCTGTTTTATTAAAATGTTCAAAACTGAGTATAAGAAAGAATATGGAAAAATAAGGTTCAAATCCACATCTATCCTTTTGCGAAGTTTTTGAGATGTCAATCACAAATTTGATGAAGGCGTTAGAAAAGTTGAAATCCTTAGGAACTCTTTTAAGTATTAAAACAAAATTCGGAAACCTATTTTGATCTCCTATGATTCTATTTTTAGATTTGGTATTTTCGCAAACCCATCTCGGTATCCTATGATACCCTTCTTTACATTGGGTATTTTCGGAAACCATTTAGGAAATGAAAAGGTATTTTTGCATCATACTATGGGCTATTTAATTTCAGTCTGAATTTATCAAATAAAAATAATACTTGATTTCAAACTGAAACGTGAGTCTAGGAGTGAGGGGGGAGTGACTGAGGGTGTGGGTGTTGGTCTGGGACCCACACACACACCCACACCCATGGTGCGGGTGTGGGCGCGCGAGTGAGGGTGAGGGTGTGCTTGTGGCTTTGTGTACTATAGGCTTTAGTCCCCTGCACAAGGGACTAAGCGGGGACTAAGCTTTTTGTGGGGGGGACTAAGGGGGACTTTGCAGGACTAGGGGGGACTAAGGGTTTTTAGTGGGACTACGTAGTATCAAACGAGAAAAGTTTGATTCGGAAGAAGTTGGTGCGGTTTTTTTGATTTTAAAATTCAGTTTGAAATAAAAAAGCCCATAGACTCTTTTGCATACCCTTTCGGGTATCAATCCGGTTTTACTAGTACTATGGGTTTTCGACAATACCTTTCCGATTTTCGAGAAACCTATTGGGTTTCCGAAAGCAAGAAAAAGGTATTCTAGAATACTTTTAGAGTGTTCAATTGAGTATTGTCGGAAACCCAAAGGGTATTTTCAGAAACGCTTTCAATCTTCTGGAAACCCTCTCGGAAACGGAAAAGGGTTTCCAATTGGGTTTCCGAACCCCTTTCGGTTTCCTAGGATACGGAAATTTTTTAGAGTGTACAATAGAATGAAACATTATTCATCATTCTCCTCATGACATTTATTGAGAATTTACTTCTAGAAAAATCATTTAGTTGAATCATACATAAAATTATACTTTGATAAATTAATATCAAAAATGAATTCATTGAAAAACATTTTTGCATCCACCTGAAAAATTCTTCATTTTCTATTAAATATGAGTGAATAATGTATTAATATTCTTGCTGGCCTCGAAATACGAGTTTTTGAAAATATAGGAATCCATATAGGATTTCGTTTTGTAAATTATAAAATTTTCACTTGAAAAATGACAAAAATATAGGATTTTTTTAATATTTTGTTCCTACTCATAAATCCGGTTTTCCTAACTCTGTGGTTTGGGATGTTTTTATTAGAGCTAGTACGAACGGTCGGAGCATTCCAAGAATGTCCATCTTGTTCAGGGCTGCCAAATCAAAATTTCAATAACCAGGAGTTTCCTGCAAAAAGCCAGGAATTCATCAGGAGATTTCATACCGAAAACCAGTAGAAAAACCAGGAGGTTTTTATTGAAATAAAAAAGTTGTCCAATGGTTTTATAGTAAATCAAAATTTTGCGTCTATACAAATGTTTTTTTTTTACTCCTTGTTGTCAGGTTATAGCAAAATCTTTCTCTAACAATGAAGGTTTTTTGTGTTATAAATTAATAAGGTTATATGTAATTGAACGACATTAAAGATCCTATCTCCAAACTAATAAATGTAAAGCATGAGTTGTTGGTGGCGTATTTAGATGGAGATATCCAAATTTTAAGGTATCTATAGTTATGCAAAGAGCTCATAATTCGAAATTTCAGTAAAATTTATTATTGTTTTTCCGTGTTTGCTAGATACAGCTTTTCGAGTTTTGTAATTTCTTTTTCACTTGAAGCGCATGTTTTCTTATAAAACTCGACAACCTCTATCCAATCATTTGGAAAAACAATAATAAATTGTATTGAAATTTTGAACTGTGAGGACCTTATACAAACTTAAATATCATTGAATTCAAAAATGTCTGTCGAAGGACCACAAATAACAGCTCATATTTTGGATTTGTTCGTTTGGCAATGAAATCATTTATTTGACCTGAATATATCTAATCTTATTAACTTGCCACATAAACACCTCTATTGCAAGTAGTTTGTAAGAAAAAAAAAGGTGATTACATGTACTTTATATTAGTATCAATTTTACAGTCAATTATTAAACTATACGAACAAAATAGAAAAAGCTTGCTTCAGACTAGGCAACAACGTAGCAAAAAATTGATCTATAATGAATTTGACACCAAACTGTTCAAAATCAGGAGAAATCAAAAGAATATGTTAAAAACCAGCTCATGGTACCTGGAGGAAGCTCTAGAAACCAGGAAATTTCAGACTAAATCAGGAGTTTTAGCAGCCCTGATTTTGTTTGTACCAAAGCTAGGGTCGAATTGCAAATTTTCGAAAATATAGGAATTCCTATATGGGCAAAATCATTTGTTAGCGATGTGACTTCGCAAAATTAAAATATGTGTATCTCGAGATAATGAGCTTTCTTAGATCTGATTTTTATATGTTGCATGGACATTAACTTACTCTAGATACCCTAAAAAAAGGTGTGGATGTGGGGGTGGGGGTGGGGGTGTATGGGCGTGGGTGTGGGTGTTCATCTGTGTCCTCCCACACCCACACCCACACCCATACTCACACCCACACGCACACCCACACCCATACTCACACCCACACCCATACTCACACCCACACCCACACCCACATCCACACCCAGCCACACCAACACCCCACATCCGTACCCACATCCACACCCACACCCACATCCACACCCCCACCCAGCCACACCAACACCCCACATCCGCACCCACATCCACACCCACACCCACACCCACACTCACACCCACACCCACACCCACACCCGTACATCCCTCCCCACCCGCACCCTCACCCACACCCAAGATAGGTTCCAATAGTTAAGAAACGAAAGCCAGAAGATTTTGTATTAAGTGATTAAAATTGTTATGAAATATTTTTTCCGAAAAAATATATTACCAATATCGTAATTGATATTGCAATTGTTGATGAATATGCCCCATTTGACTTTGACGAAGCTTGCAATGATGTTGTGTGATCTGTTGTTGTTATTGCTGTTGTGGAAGTTTCATCTGAAGTAATTTCAAGATAAAAACAATGAGTTGCATTTATTAAAACATTTGCTACTCACCAAAACCACTAAGTATCTGAAATTTCTGCACTCGATTATTGTATTCATCGCTAATAAAAAGAGATCCATAGCTATCAAATGCCAATGCAGTTGGCCCATGCAGCATATCAATTCCATTTCCGCTAGTACCAGTACAAGCCACGATACATTCACCAGAATTCGAATTTGGTGGCCATCGAAGGATTCGTTCGTTTCCAGTATCCACTATATACATGTATCCATTCGAGTCAACAACAATTGCTGACGGCATGAACAGCCGAGATAAACTACTGCCGATATCTCCACTGCCTGCCACTGTCACACCAGAGGAAGCTCCATTATTCCATCGTTGGATTCGATGATTCAACCAGTCTGCAACATACAAGGTTCCCGCTTCATTGACAAACACTCCTCGTGGTGAATTGAACTGCGAAGCGCTAGCTCCACTGATGCCATTTCCAGCGATCACCACACCAGGCACACCACTCGATGAATTCGATGGATAACGAACTACTCTATGATATCCAGTATCACTCACATATAAATTCTCATTACTGTCGACAAATATATTGTAGGAACCGCCGAGTGTTGACGTATTTAGAATGCTTCCCCCCACACCTGTAATCCCGGCAATGGTGACTGGATTTGTTCTATTTTTGAATAATTTAACCACGCGAAAATTGTACTGGTCTGAGATGTAGATATATTTTTGTGTGACAAAAACATCAGTAGGAACATTAAATCGAGGATTTGAGTCAGATCCATCTCGAATAATAGCTATAGCTGAAGTGGAATTGGGCCCAATTACAACAACTCGATTATTCAACGTATCAGCGATGTAGAGATTGTTGTCATCTGCAATGCTGATTCCTCCATTGGAAGAGAGAGTGGATAAAGATGACCCAGCTGTACCATTTGTCAATCCTGCGACTGTAGTAGCATTCTGAGCCCAACGTGTAGAAGGTGATAGATTTTGTTGTGCTAAACACATATACAAGTGTCGACATCAACTCATTGTTGTTTCTTTTTAAAGTACATGAATATTTTCTATTATGTTAGTCAACGCCTATGAATATTGAAGTGTAAATAAACAATAGGAAAACATTTCGATGCATTTTTTCAAATAGAATTCTCTATATTTATGTCTTTGAATACTTTTCAAAATTCTTTTCATTTAAATCTCTGAGGAAAACTATGATTAGTTATTCTATTTCAATGAAAATAAATGTACTGGAAATCTTCTTCTGCATGATTTGTATTTGATAGTATTAGAGATGTTCCACTAATGATTATTAGACGAATCGAGACAAAGTAAGAGCTTATGACTAGACACTAGTTGTATGTTCATATTTATTGTTCCTTCTCTTTTTATTTTTTTATTTTTCTTTTGCTATTCAAGTCATTGCTTTATTTCTTGCATCTACTGAGTAGATATAAAGTTGAAGGAAGCATGTTCAAAAACTTTCGTTATCCATATAAAAGATCTTCTATATTAGGGTCAGTAGAGAAAGACAAAGTGCTACATATCCTTAACTAGAAAGGGAGTTCTAATCTTCACCTTTAGATTGACATTCAAAAACATATTAGTGGCAACAATGTTGAAAAATATCTCCATACTTCTAAAATGACGAAAAAAAAATACCATTTTCTTTCAAACACAAAGCACCTTAGAGGAAAAACTGAAAAAAAGAGGACATTCTCACTGTCATGCAGATGGCGGATTCGCTCTTGTTCCTTCGGTTTATCTTTTCCTGATCTCTATTAGTTCAACCATTTTTTATATTTAACCATGAATGAGTGTGAGAATCTCACAAACAAATACAAATGTTCATGTAATGACTATTGAGTGAGAAAGAAATTATATTTCTTACCGCCGGTACAATGCACAAATATCATTGTAAGCATCCAAAAGACAATTGTTGTTATGGATGAGATGCACATAACCATTTTCTGTTCAAACCACAGTAACCGTGAAAAAAATTGATTGGATAATACCTGTATGCTTGGCAAAGAGCAATTTTTCAAGAAAGAATTTTCTAATAAAATATGTGTACAGAAGTCATTATTTCGAATAGAATTGGATGTCTCACCGCGTTCTTTCGCATGAATGAGTTGATTTTTGTATTATTAATAAAAAAAAAATATCCATAGCAACTCTTCGTGAAGAAAATCTTTACTAAAATGGTTTCAGACTGTAATGGTACGATTCAATAGGAAAGAGGAATTTTGTTCATCATTTCGACGAATAGCGCTTAATATTTACTATAATGTTTCATACCTTGTTACTTCAGTGTAATCTCACAGTTTCAACAATAAGAAGGAAAAAATATGTTGAGGAAAATGACGATATTTTGAAACTATTTTGGTAAAGATCTTTGCCATGAATATAAGCTATGAATATTGTCTTCATTAGTAGTGCAAAAATCAACTCATTCTTGCAAGACAATGTAGTGAGATATTCGATTGCTTTTTCACCTAATGCAGACGATTTGATACTGAGTATATAGTCTGAGATGAATTGTTTGCAACAATGTCCGGATTTTCAAAAGAAGGATATTTCTCTAATGAATAATCAAATTTTAAAAACTGCACCTACAGAAAAACTATATCAACAAGAAATAATAAAGCTATCCAGATAAGAGAAGTAAATTTCTAAGAAATGTTGATGATTAATCCAATAGCAAAAGAGGATATCTAGGATACTACTGAGTAACTTTCAAATACTTTTGATAATAAGCATTCCGAAAAACGAAAATTTCTGGACTATTTTCAAAACCTAAACATTGAAAAAAGAATCCTATTCAGAAATTTCTGCAAACAATGTGCCGCTAAAAACCAAAAAAATTCATGTCCATCATCCATCTAATTCCAGCATCTACCTGCCAAAGTACTATCAAACTTCACTAAATATATAAATTACTATATATTGATTCTATATGAATATCAATGTATTTTCATGCGGAGTAGAAAGACCTACCCTTAAAATTATTGATAATTTGAGAAATTAATTAGAAATTTTGGAAATTACTTTTTACTTATACCATTAACAAATCTATCTATTGTATTATTAAGAAGAAGACGTTACCTTTTCAAATATAGGAACCTTTCGAAATTTCTTAACAATTTCTAAAATTACTGATATTTTAGATGGTAGAGTTTCTCTTTCTAATACTAAGCTCCTTCTCCTGTCAAAAATCGATCTTAGGTCAAATCTGTTCAAATTGCATGAAATTTTCAAGATATGTTGGTGCTGTAATGAGAATACTATACTGTAACGTTCGCCCTTATATCATGACGTTTTCGAGAGATATGGAACAAGCAAGGGCCAGAAATAGCTCATGCAGGGCACGAGAGTGCTTGTTTTTCTTACTTTTTAATCGGAGAAACAGTATAAAAGTTCAATGCCTGAAGTAGTTTATAAAAATGCACTCTAATTATGAAAGTACCATTTTATAGAATATCAGCGATGCTTAATTCAAAGAAACGACTCGATCATGCGCTGCATCTTGACGCCCACTTTCAAACAAAATTAAATGCATGGAATGGTGAAATACAGAGAATTCTCAGTTCCACCGTGAAAAGACATAAACAGAGAAAAAGCAAAAAAAAGATTTCTCGTTTTTTTCGGACAAAAAGCATATGTTTCAAGTATAAAGTGACGAAAATTATCTAAACTTTTGGAGAAATGACGTTTCGAATAAAAAAAAACACGTGTCATTTATGAAAGATCACACGCCAGGCTATCTTCCCATGCATTTATCTCTATTTCTATTTTGTAGGGTGGGGCTTAACAGGCTAGTAAGAGTAATGATATGGGAATAGAATTTCAACAGAGAAAGGAAAGAAAAAACTAATATCAATATTGAAGTCAACAATGAATAAATTATCTATAGAACTTTTTATTTTAACAGCAGCGAAAATTTTATTTTTTATTTTTTTTTCGTAATTGACAATGCTAGCAAAGAAAGACTATCGCAGATAACAGAATTTTATTTTGCAGAAAAATTGCAAAAGTAAATTCTGTATAGGCTATCTTTATGATGGAATTAACTGACATTGTGCAATTCAATTGGCACTATTACAGAGTGACATATATACCACGACCATTGAATGTTTTTTGCCCTTCGTATAGTATACATATAGGCTGTTTATAACTAGCGAACTATTGTTTTTACTATACGATGACATCATCATACATTCTTTTCTTTTTATCTCCCATCTATACAAGATAGATCGAAAACAACTTGTAAAAGTGAATTCTGTCATTTTCGATAGTCTGTCCTTGCTGGCATTATCAATTGCAAAAAAATTAAAATTTTCGCTGGTGTTAAAATAAAACATATTACATTTCAATATTAAGTCGTTCATTTACTTACATATATTAGATTTCAAAATAACTATGGCAGCATGTATGGACGCATTTCGATACTAAGTAAAGGATTATTTTCGATCTATCTCGTATAGATGAGGGATAAAAAGAAAAGAATGTATGATGATGTCATCGTATAGTAAAAACAATAGTTCGCTAGTTATAAACAGCCTATATGTATACTATACGAAGAATGAAAAACATTCAATGGTTGTGGTATATATGCAAGGGGGAAAAAGCAGATTTTAACCATTGAAGTGTTTGGAAACCTTTGGAAATCTTTAGAAATCTGTAAAAATCTTTGGAAATCTCTAAAAATCTTTAGGAATCTTTACCAGGTGGCCCATAAGTAAGGAAACAGAAAAAAAATTGAATATCTCTATTAGGACTTGGCCAAACGGGCTCATTTTTATACCGAGGCTAGAGGCCTGTTTACACTCTAAATCCACGGGCAAGATTGGTGAGAATCTTTGTTAAGTATCATTAGTGACCTCAATAAAAAAATTTCACCTTTTCACAAATAGGAAAAATTCAATGTACAGGGTAACTCAATAGTCAGTTTTCTGAAAAGAAAATTGAATATCACCATTATGGTTCGAGCGAACGAGTTGATATTTTGACCAAAGATAGAGACATGTTCATGTTCTAAATCCATATGGACAAGGTTAGTGTGAACCTTTGTTAAGTATACTTCTTTCTTTTCTAATCTATGAAAAAGTAAAATTTTCTTGTTGAGGTCAATGGTGATGCTTTCAAAAGTTCTCGTTAACCTTGCCCGTATGGATTTAGAGTGTGAACAGGCCTCTAGCATCGGTATAAAAATGAGCCCGTTCGGTCAAGTCCTAATAGAGATATTCAATTTTTTTTTCTGTTTCCTTACTTATGGGCCACCCAGTATGAATCCTTCGGAATCTTAAAATGAGGCATGTTTCAGCACCAATACAGTAGTGAACTGTCAGAATTGAATGGCATTGGTATTGACCGGATTTCATATTACTGTGCCGGTACTGTTACATCCCTAATTTTTCCGTTAAACAAAGGACCTTTTCAGTAAAGGGTGGACGTGGGTATCAGTGGGCGTCGAAAAAGAAGAAACAGTCACACACGCACACACTTTAGGTGTTGCTCCAAAGATTATTCGGGTACCCGACATTTTTCACGCCGCCGATTTCATAGTGAATGTTAATATGGATAAATTCTATGGATCGCGTTGCATGCTCTCAATTTATTACAAATGGTATTTATTAACTTCTTCCTTTTTCTATAGTTATCAACCGTTCATGAACCTAGAAACATGATCTAGAAAAGAAATAGATAGTATAGAAAGAATTCATGCTCTAACGTAGTCTCATCAAAAAAGACAAGTCACAGGTATTGGAGAAGAGCTGTCTTCTAACTTATAAATGGGTGAAAGCACAATGAATCCTATCTACCTGAGTAAAAATCCGAAGAAATATGAAGAAAGAAAATTGAAAACAGCAATCATCTATCAACTAATTTAGTATGATGTTTTGCATCAGATACTTGATCTATATCTATTAGATATGAATCGAGAAGGATAAGCTAACTTATTCCGCATTTCTCTGTAAATCCAAGAAATATTTCCTTGAAATTAATGAAAG